GTGTGATGCGAATGTTGATAATGTATTTTGATTGTAATGTTTACTTCGTTTTGCATTCATCATAACACCACCCAGTAAAACACTAAGAGCTGCTGTGAAATGGTAAATTTTCGCCGCATGAAATGTGTTTCATATGGCAAAAATGCACATGAAACATGGTATTCGAAATGAAGAGTGAAATGTTGATGTGAAAAAGAATTCCGTTTTGTAGATAAATTTTCAGTGATTGCTCTCAATTGGGGAACAGAAATACACTGAATTGTAGTCCTTTAAAACTGTTAAATTGATTTACTGTGTGAAATTGTTGATCTTTTGAAATTTGCAGTACGAATTACTTGATGGTGAACAAATTGAACTGATAGCTGAGTGCTTCCTGACGATATTCCAACAAGAGTTCTTCTCGCGAAAACCACTCACAGACGATTTCACTCCAACGCCTGAGTAAGCAATTTGATTTTGCTTGTTGAGTGGGTTTTTTTGAATCGATAGTTTCGAAATGCTTTTTGCTCTGAGCGATGCTTGTGATCGTTTGGGAATTCTATGATAGCTGTTTATTGTAAATGATGTTGAAGAAGATGTGAATCTCTTAAGGAGCAGTGATATTCGTATGCTAATGACTAATATTGTAGAACATTCGATCAGATATTCAATGATCCAATCTATGTGATATTCCGAAGTTTTTGTTTACTGCCAGATGAGGATGCAGTACGGCAGCCGATGTTGTCGTTGATTAGTGAAATGAGAGAAAGGTTACGTTTCCTCGTCTCTCAAATTTATCTTGCCTATTTGATTGGGCCAGTTCTTCAATAAATCTGACGGCATCATGTCTTCCATCCTCCTTGAAGCAAATTTCCACGTTTGGCTCTCCCATCTTGGTCTCTCACCAGATACTCTCCAATTATTTTTGCTCTAGAGCTCAATTGCAACTGTTTTTTTTTTTTTTATTGGTTGCTGTGTTCAGTTATAACTGAACAATTCAATTGTGAAGTGAAATTCGAATGCGAATAATTCAAGTTGTGGTGCTGTTATCCTTGGATGTGTTATTCGAAAATAGAACCGATGAAATGAAACAAAATTGGGCATTCATGAAAGTTGCGGAATTCGCATGGGTCAGTT